TGGCGGACGTTAATATACCTGGGCGGCCCGTCCAAGTAAAGTCTATGTGTGGCAAGCCCTGAACACATTTGTTCAGCAAGATTTCACCTTGTCCTCAGATCAAAGTCAACTTCATTGTCAATCTTCCAGTTTGTGTGTACAGACAGAGAGACAATCCCGAATATAAAAACAAATGTAAATAAAACATTTTTTTTAAATATCTATATATATATATATATATATATATATTAGGGCCGGGACTTTAACGCGTTAAGTAAGATTAATTAATTACACAAAAATGAACGCGTTAAAAAAATGAACGCATTTTAATCGCACTTATTTTTGCACCGCGGAACGTTTCTCACTGGATGAGTTTCAGGCGTACCGATTATACTGGAGCACCAACTAACGTTCATGACTTCAGACAACAACAAACCACAGTGAACAACAGTGGGAAATGTTGTTTTAAAAAAAGGACGGATGGAAGCGTCGATAAGAGCACGGTTGTGTGCAAACTATGCAAAAAGGAATTCGCATATCACCGCAGCACATCAAGCCTCAAGTATCACCTCAATGCAAAACATATAGCAGCTAGCGTGGAAGCTAGCGTGGACGTTAACCTCTTTTATCGCGTTCACACCAAAAAGAGCCGGTACTAAAATTAGTTCATGAGAACCTTTTTACCCCCACGAAAGTCCCTGCTAGAGAGCTGCTAGAGAGCAGGGACTTTCGTACGGCTCTCTTGTGAGAAAAGAGCTATATTTCTGATTGGCTGGGCGGATTGCAAACCACGCCCCGTAAAACTCCCAAAAAGTTTTGTGAAGCCGCCATTTTATTATCCTCACATTAGCATTATTAACATTAGCCCAGCGCAGAAACGCAGAGAGACTAACTTATGGCAACACAAAATAAAACATGGGAGCGGTGGAGATGAGGAGGTGTCGGCGTTCTAGCGATTTACTCGGAAGGCTTCAGTAGAAGCTGCTGGGACTCCCAGCAGCTTCTACTGAAGCCAGTCCCCAACTCCGGGGACTTCCGGCGGCGTGAAGTGGTTTGCGGCCTGCCAGTAAACCCAAAGCAGAAGAAGAAGAAGTGACGTCAGCGGCTTCATTTGCCTAATCCACCCCCAGGTTCAAAGAGTTCTCATGAACTAAGTTCTCATGAACCTTTGTGGGAAAAGTACTGCGGTGTGAATGCGCCTAATGGTATACTAAAATCCATGTGAAAAAAATTGCTTCTCACTGTTCTTAGGTCAAATATTTACATGTGATTAAAAATGCGATTAATTTCGATTAATTAATTACAAAGCCTCTAATTAATTAGATTAATTTTTTTAATCGGGTCCCGGCCCTAATATATATATATATATATATATATATATATATATATATACATACAGAATCAAAGACATTAGATGTTCTACATATCAGTTTACTCTGAGCTATATTCATTAATATGAACAGCCTTATTTTGGCTTTAAAATTGGGGTGAAAACATTTTTCACCCCACATTGGTTATAAAAGCACAATTACATTTAAAGGGAGAACAAAAACGCTCAAACCTCCACTAACACAGTCACAGTGCAGTCCACCATGGTAAACTTTTTCTATTTTAATTGAGTCTGGGTCTCATTCAATTCCTCCATGTTTGGTGAAGCATAGTTGTTCCCAAAGTAAGCATAAAAAGTCACAGTAAAAGCAGCTCAAAGAAATGCTGATACATCTCTGTGGGACACAGTGTAAGGCGCCAAGAGGAAGTAAAATGTATACTACTAAATAACTACTTTTGAAAAACGGAAGACATTTTGTTCAACAGAATACCGTCCTTACTTCAAGTTAAGGTGCAATATGTATCTGCAAATCTGAACAACATTACGCTTTGTGACTTGTAAGGATATAACTTTAAGTATGAGGATCAACTGGTATTACAAGTCTGGTGATGCTAACCCAGCTTAACTAAAACAGGATGAGGAAACAGAAGTTTGCGTTAAGGCCTTTGCATGTCTGCCAGGCTGTTGTCAGGACATGCATCTGCAGCAGACCGTGTCCAATCACTCAGATAGTTAGCTGGGCAGCACAGTTAGCTGGGCAGCACAGTAAGCAGCAACTCAGACTATAGAGGTCTCTTTTTAATTCTACCCACTGCTCTCATATTCTCTAACCTCAACTTAACCCGAGTGGCTGGAGCAGGCAGGTGGAAGCTGATTCACCTCTGCTTCAACAGGCGTCCTTAAAAAGAGATGGAAAATGTGCAAATTGCCTTTCTGTCACTGTCACAGTGGAAGGTCTGAGGCAGCTCATGTTTGCTAGAGTAGTATGATATACTCATTCAGGAACCCTATGCATGGGCAACTGATTACAGCCACTACGACATGGCTACAGTTGTGTTAGCATAGCATACAGTGAGTAGAGGATCAAATGCTCAGAGAGAGAATTTGATGTAGATATGAAGGTACATTCCTGATGTGAGGCTGGCCTTTTGTTCAATCAGCAAGTTGAGAAAACTAAAGGTCAGGAATGTACCTGAATGTGTACATAAGAGGCGGGCCTTTTCAATCAGCATGTTGTAAAACAAAGGCCTTATTGATAAATCACAAAGGTACACGGATAGCAAACACAAGATAACAATATGTGATATTTAACACAAGCTTCTGAATCCAAATAACATTGAATCAAGGAAAACTCTGAATCTACAAATATCATCCAAAGAATAGTTTTAATATTGTATTGTCTTGGAAAGCAGGTGCATAATGGTGTTATAAAATATAATGTGCAGGGTCTCCAATGGCTTCCTTTCCTGAAATAAAGACATTCAAAATAGTTTTTAGGGGAAGTGTGCAGAAGCCCAATATCACACAGCAACAGCCATTTCCAATGTTGACCAATAGGTAAACAGAAATAATGATAACTCTCGAAAAAGGTGAGAACACATCTTGATAAAGGGTTATCCTCTTAAAACCTTTGGAAATTAATTAATACAAATAACCTTGTTTCAGATGTTTGCTCCCTGTTTTTGGTAACACACCACCAATACAAATCCGGCCTCCATTTTCAAATCCGCCTGTTGGTTTATTATCAAACTGTTTTCAAGGTTGACAGCTGTTATGGAAGTTTGCTAGTATGTAACAGGCTTTTTCTGGCCTTGTGTTTGTCCTTTTAATCCCATAGCATCCCCTGTTAAAATATAAATCCAGACTTGAGCTAAGAAAAGTAATCCTTGGAGAAGATCCGTGCCAAATAAACTGGCTTTATCATTCTCACAATATGGCCTGTAAATTCACTTTCACTGCTGATAACAACAAAACATGGAAAACATCACCGTGGGATTTTGGTGGGGATTTGTTAACATTTACAGACTTAATAATGAATTTATAATTCATGTAATTGTTTGCAGAGCTATTTGATACATTGTTTGAATGGTATGCTGCCTTAAGAGATATGTGTACCAGATATTTTAAAGAAGAGCTCTAGATGAAGCTAAACTACCTTCACTTGGTCCTTTTCATTACATTCCTGCTATCCTTCCAGTCAGGAAAGTTTGCTGAATTTCGACAACTATTCACCATCCAAAACTCACACATGCACACACACAAATGCCATCAGTGAAAGCCTCCATTCAGCATATTTGCCTCATTTAAAAAAGAGGAGCTATTATTTTCTGCCAAATAGGGTCCGGTTTGGAGGGTCAGTTCCGATGATTTAATTCTACACATTCTGACACAGTTCCTAACGTTTTCCTCAACAACAAAAATCTTGAATACCCCGACGCTGAAATTATTTTAAAAAATCTATTCAGACTTCTCTATCCTGTTTGTACAAAAATATTTTCTCCCCTGTTCGGACAAAAAGATTGGAAACCCTCTTTTACAAAGTGCAACTTAATCAATTCCACCAAAGAAAGATGACAACTGGAAATGGCCTATATCCACATTGTCACACAGAAAAATATTAATAAATCATTATATGAATGTAAAAAATACTACAAATCAACATTTGCATGGATGAAGAATGCTAAAAACTAAAAAAAGTGTCAAATCAGATAAGCAAAACAATTAAATGCTTGGGCTGCCAATTCAAAAACTTTGGCATCATATTGACAGTTTCCAATACGTTTGTCCTCTTTTTCCACACTGAAGAAAACAATAAGTTAATCAAGTTATGAAGCAAAATCAAATAGATACTAATTATCAACACATTACCAAAGAAAATGCCAAGTGTTTGCTCATTTCAGCATCTTAATTGTGAGGATTTGCTGCTGTTTTATGTTTTACATCATTCAAATGTGACTATTTTTGGATTTTGTATTCTTGGTTGAAAACGTCAAGCTCAGGGGAGAACAGTTACTCCTGGTTAACATCTTATACAAGTTAGCCAACAGATTCCTTGACAATGGAAACAAATAATTAGTTCCAGCCTTACATGCAATAACAGTTATATACATGGCCTGACTTTAAACTGTTATGTTTTGCTCATATGATGAATTTGTCTGGATCTACAAAATAGTGACAAAGAAGCAATGACCCAATGGCCATGTGAATACATAACCAAGTGTCCCCCCCCCCCCCCCCACCCCTTTTGTTGCCCCCTAACTATGTGCTGACGCCTGTCAACCTGTGAACGCAGCACCCACCGCCTGCTTCACATTTTTTGACAACTTCCTGAATACCGTGTTATTGAAACTTTACTGTGACGCCCTGCTTTGCTGGGTTAGCTACGTGGCCCCCTTTAAATTCATCCTGGCCTCTGTAACTAATGACCTGCCATACTTGCACAGTGCTACAAGAAAGTCCATTTTGTGAATCACATCACACACTCACAGTAGGGGAATGTAAATGTTGATGGTATTGGGGGGTGAACTGTTGAGGCAGGGGGAAGTACGGAGCGGTTCTTTGATACTGCTGCAGCGAACAAACACTAGCATTTGTAGGATTTCTGACGGTAGTTGTTACATGGTGAGACAAGCGACATATTGCGGATTAAGACCTCACCGCTGCACCGAGCCACCCACGGCCGAGCTCCTACCTGTATCTGGGGGATGCCGCCCGGACCTTCCACTGTGTCGGGCGAGTTGTCGAACACTCGGTCCCGGTACAAAGACCACAGCCCGACGTTTGGGAGGAAAAGAAGAGCTGCTATGAGCAGTCCAGCGAACTGCAGCAGCCTCTTCTCCTTCCGCCTCATTACTCCGAGAGAAAGCTTGTGAAGTAGCGGCGGTGGAAACTAGCAAGCCCCGAACCCCCAGCTTTTCCAAGCCGAGACAACTTTCACTCTGACTGGGGGACAGACACCGGCGCTGTGACGCTCCACGCACGGCTGCGACCTCGGCCGCTAGGGGGGGTACAGCTCTGCACATCAGCCAGTGCATGGGAGCTTTTTTATTTATTTATTGAACAATTATTTCAATACAATCAGAAAAAAGCACATATACATCAATGTTAATTACATTCATTCAAAATGTGTGTATGCAACGGTGTTTAATGATAATACAATTGTAGGTAGTATTGTATTGTAACAAGCCAAAGTTAACTGGAATGCATTGTGTTCTTCATAATGTAATTTAATAACATTTTTTCTACTGAAACAACTCTGTTACTTCAAGAAAAACACCAATGTATGTTATGTTTTCTGTGTGATGATCGACTTCATACAAAACTAAACATATTAAAATGTTGAACACTGTCTTTATCTCTTTTGTCCCACATGATGTGCCCCTCTCATAAAATCACTGGTCCCAACATGGCCCCCCAGGTCGGATTTCAGCCAAAAAAAGATTGATGTTTTTAAAGTATTGTAACTTCTCCAAAAATATATTGCTTTTCCCACGTGTAATCACAGAGATTGCACTGTAAAGTTTAATAGCTTGAGCAGAGTGAAACTATATCATCATAAAAAAAGTTCTATGACCGGCTAACGAGTTGTGCTGCCTTCAAAAGCACCTCGGAAATAGGATTAAAGTTGTTTTCTGGCATAACGAGGACATAAGCCCTTTAATTAAGTGTGCTAAATCTACCCTGTAAAATGGCAAGTTAAAACCCTTTCATGTATAGAGGTCACTACAGTGGACAGCTATTCAAAAGATGTTTTCTTGTATATGCATTGTTTTTTTTGCATAGTTGCACCATCAGCCACTACATAGGACCCTATTGCATCATCCCATACACTGCCACTCAGTGCCAAGTCAGTGTGCATGATACATGTCTCTAAACCAAGATGGACGACAGAAAGCCACATGGACCAAGTCACCCATCTATATCTTGCCAATCCTTTCATGGAAAGCGTCCCCTGAAGGTATACAAAATATGGTGACATCAAGTAACAACTAAGGAATCATAGAATTCATAAATGATCAAAGTATTGATTTTATGTTTGCAGGAAATCATGATTAACCACCAGTCCACTACAGTGGACGTCATGCATCACTGGCTACAATTCATACTGGTACTGCTGCTGTTGTTCCCAGGGCCGTCCCTCCCTACAGGCAGATCATGCAGACTGTGTGGGGCCTCACCTTGTGGAGGGGGCCACACCTTGCGGAGGGGGGCCTCATCTGAGGCGCACCTATGCGCTTATGTGGCGCAATTAGGGTGGCGCGGCACGGTTTCGCCGCTGCGAGGCTCCACTAGCACTCATCAAATAACTGTGCGTGGGGCCTCAAATTGGCCCCTGGCCTTGGTTATTCTTGAAAATACTTAATCTGCAATATATTTTTGGGCCATAAATCAATATACTTATGTTATTATAATGTAATTTTAAATTTGCAAATCTTTATTTATCATTTTTTCAAAATGTATTATCTCTTCAGTTCAAACCCTGAACGCATACTGTCCACCTGAGTGGACATATACAAATATATTTGAAAAAACTAGATTAAAAAAAACTAAAGTTCAAATCTTGTTTTTCATGCCCCAAGAGCAATACAAACACTTGGTAAACAAATCCTGACTGAGGTTTTCATAATTCATGCATGAAAGGGCTTTAGTCAAGCATATGGAAACAACTTGATATTTATTATTTTAAATCTCTTACAATCAAGACATTGTTTTATTAATATGCATTGATAATTATGTCAGGGTGCCTATCATAATCACAGAAGGTTACAACCAACTTTCTTTCTGTAAACCTATTGGATAGATTTTTCTGTCGACTAATCTGCTCAGTAATACGACTATTCTGAATCTTAATTTCCATTTAGAGTAGCCTAGATGGGGCAGATCCCATGTTCTGGAAATATTTGAGGTCACTGGCCGTTTCTCAATGTTGAGTAAAGCTGCTGCAGTGCCACTATTTCAAGTATACTACGTCATCGAGTGGCTCCGAATGTTGGGCATTTAAACATGGAGGTATATTAAGAACTGGATACAGCGTGGGAGGCGGGGCCTCATTCATTCCTTGCTCATTAGCGCATGATGATAAAATGGCCCAACTTTTGAGAGAGCGAAACGTCACAGATTACCCGGCATGCCGGAGAAGTACCCGTATGTGCGCTCATAGCGCATGCGCAACTTTAACCAAAATGCTCGTTCACATCAAGCACGTCAATTTGCGTACACGTAACAGCACCGTGCGTTCATGACAGCATGGTAATGGCTTGTTATTATAATGGATTTGATATTAACGAGGCGGCAGTTAGCAGCTAGCGGCTAGCTAGTAATTATGCTAATGTACACATCAGTCGTTATGTACTTATATTATGCTGTAACAGGATCTAGTGATATCCAACAGAGCTTCATTTAGCATGAAATAATTATTGCACTGTATATATATATACACACAGTGCAATAAGCTTCTTAGTGCAATAATAAGCTACTGGGACGTTAATCTAACGTCGGTAATATTAACTTTATTTAATATAACATTTACGGTACAAGATTTAATCATACAGCCCATGTAGTATAATATTTTACAAATCATGAATTACAGGAAACATGTGCAATATATCCATTATTACAGCTCCGTGGGATGGTAGTAAGACAATATGGGTCCGTTCTTATTGTGCATTGTTAGTTTATTCTAGAACCCTGAAGGAGAGACTGAAAAGAGTCAAGGGAAGCTTATAAAAGTTAACAGCATTTAATTACACAAAAGATGCGGTGGTGTACAAAATGAAATGTGCGAGTGGAGGCCAAGCCCCCAGGAGGTGCACCGGACTCAGATGAAAATATTCGTGCTGGCCAAACGGCGGTACTACACTTCCGTTTGGTTGCCAGGCCCGGAAACACTTTTTCCCATTGACTTACATGGGGAAAGAGTGGTCTGTAACTCGTTGGATAATTTTTTTTAAACTAAATAAACTACCCAGTATGAACACTTGTATAGCCCTTATTAAAAACATTCGTTCCTCAAGTTGTAAAAATGTGCTAATAACGTTATTCTGAGAGTTATTTCCCTCTGCATTATGAACGTGCATCTAACCCACGGGACCGCGCCGCTCGGCACGTTCATGTTACGTGTCCCGACCAATCAGAGCACACTGTGCTCACAGGGAGGGTGGGGCTGGAGCTATTGGAGCTACAACGAGCCGTTAAAGGCAGAGAGTGAAATTCAGTGAATACACGTAGTTTACAGAGATGCTGTATGAGAAACCAATGTGAGTTGCGTTTATCTTTACCCATGGATAAGAACGGATCCATATCGTCTTACTGCCATCCCACGGAGCTGTAATAATGGATATATTGCACATGTTTGCTGTAATTCATTATCATACTACATGGGCTGTATGATTAAATATTGTACCGTAAATGTTGTATTAAATAAAGTTAATATTACCGACATTATTAACGTCCCTGTAGCTTCGTATTGCACTAAGAAGCTTATTGCACTGTATATAAATATATAAATATATATATATATATATATATATATATATATATATATATATATATACAGTGCAATCATTATTTCATGCTAAATGAAGCTCTGTTGGATATCACTAGATCCTGTTACAGCGTAATATAAGTACATAACGATTGATGTGTACAATAGCATCATTACTAGCTAGCCGCTAGCTGCTAACTGCCGCCTCATTCATATGAAATCCATGATAACAACAATCCATTACCATGCTGTCATGAACGCGCGGTGCTGTTACATGTACGCAAATTGACGTGCTTGATGTGAACGAGCATTTTGGTTAAAGTTGCGCATGCTCTATGAGTGCACATACGGGTACTTCTCAGGCATGCTGGGTAATCTGTGACGTTTCACTCTCTCAAAAGTTGGGCCATTTTATCATCATGCGCTAATGAGCAGCTCTCATAGGAATGAATGAGGCCCCGCCTCCCACGCTGTATCCAGTTCTTATTATACATCCATGGTCAGTCCAGGTCAGCAGGTAGAAGAGGTCAATTCTTGGCTTGCTCTTCCTGTTGTCATCTGAGGTCTTCTCCTATTGGCCGGCGTCGTCGGGGGGGCGGGTCCAATGCAATTCCTGCCTTTTTCTGTTGTTAAATTACATAATTCTGGTGTCTGTGGTTATTTAAACATTCCCTAATAAACGTTATTCAGCGGCAATAAATGAGTGCTAAACCCAGTGTGCTCAGTGTACAACATCACATGTCATAATATGGGATTAGTTTTGTATTATAAAGATAAAGCAACACTTTCTCAGAATAAAGCAAAACTATGAGTTTAAAAGAAGAAAAAAACTGAGTCAAGCAAAATAAAATAAATTTCAAAAATAAAACTATAATGCGGCTTTCACACCAGTGCTTTTCCCTTTCTAGCTCCGAGCTAGAGCTTTTCTGGTTCAGCTCCGGTTTCCCTTTTCTGCTCCCGCTCTGTTCACACCGCCCAGCACCCGACTGGTGCTGCCGCTGCTTCGTCATGACGTCACCGTTTACATCGCTGATTTGCTCCCTAACGGCATTACGGCGCTCACAACAACAACAACAACGGGGAACTGCGTCGGGTCGATGATCGTGTTGCTTTTAATCACACGAAGCCAGAATAAATTGAATAACGACTTCTCCAACCTTATACTTTGCTCCAGAGTGTCGTGGTTCATTGTTTATTAATGTGTTTCTGCAGCATTTACCGACCGCTGCAGTGTTGGCTGCTCTTCCACGGGAGTTTATTCTCCTCCGTTAGCTCCCGGTTAGCTCACACTGCAGCGGCCGCTCTAAAGTATTCACTGGCCAACTCACACAAGCAGCTGATACATATCCCCAGTTCCCCTTAGCCTAAGTGAATGTTTGTCAGTCTGAATTGACGCTCTTTGGTATCACAATGCTGTTGTGAAAGTTTCTCTGGTATAAAATGGGTGATGTTAGCATAGCAACCGAAGCTAAACTGACTACTTGCTATTGCTATCCTATTGTGGCAT